GAAAGATTTTATAAAATAAATTTGACTCAACTCGACTCGAAAAAAATGAGTCGAATAGAGTTGGTCTTTAAACTTGACTTGACTCGACTCATTCGGAACTCTAATAATATGTAATATATATTATTTTTAATATGATAATTATTCTATTAAAAAAAGATTATATGTGAATAAATATATCATAGTAATTATATATAATTATGTAAAAATATAATTTATAATTATAGTAATTAATTATACATTTTTTTAAAAATATAATAATTATATAATTAATTATAGAATGGTAAATAATTATAAAGTGGTTATTAATTATAAAATAATAAATAATTATAAGGTGATAATTTATTATAAGATGGTAATTATTCATTATAGATATAATTAATTACAGAATGGTAATTAATTACAGGTGGTAATTAATTAGCAAATTTTAGATTGTAAATGAAATGATATGAAAATTTTTAATTTGATAATTAATTATAAATATATAATTAATATTACTGAAAATCAATTTTCCAATCTTTTTTTTGAATTGTTATATTTTTTTTTAATAAAAAAATAATACTTTTATTTTATTTAACATAATTTTTAAAAAAAAATCTTATTTTTAAACTTAATACTTAAACTTATAAAAATTCTTATTAAATGTGATTTTTTTTATTTTTATAGATTTTAATTTTATATTTATTTAATATCTTTTTTATAAATATTAATATAGAGATTTTATAAAAAATTTGAGTACTTTAATCAAAGTCAATTACCTTTATCTTTAAGTGAAAATTATTTAGCAGGTTCAATACTATTTACAAATAAATTTCTTTAAAATTGGATTAATATTCGTATAGTAATAAGTTTTTTTATAATTTTATTAATATTGTGATATTTCTTTTTAACTTTACAGGATAATTAAAACACTTTGATCAAAGTCAATTACCTTTTATCACTAAGTAAATATTATTTAATAGGTTTGATATTATTTATATTTAATTTTTTATCTTAGTTTAATATTCGTACAATAATATTTTTTTTGTAACTTTATTAATATCATGATACTTTTTTTTAACTTCATAGGATAATTTGAGAATTTTGATTAAAGTCAATCACTTTTTATCTCTAAGTGAATGTTATTCAACAATTTCAATACTATTTACATCTAATAATATTTTTTTTGTAACTTTACTAAATAAATCACATTTTTTTAAATTCACAAATTAATTTGATCATTTTGGTCAAAATAAATCTCTTACTGTATATTAAGTAAAATGTTCTATATATCTAAAACTATATATATATAAATTTTATCTTGATTAGTATAATATTCATTAAGTAATAGCTTTTCATAACTGTATTAATTCTCAAATTTTTTTGTTTTTTTGAATATTTATTTATATAATTTATTAAATACTGTATTAATATGAATGTATATTGTAAAATTATTATACTTTATAAAAAAATGTATCAAATAAAAATATTTAAAATTATTATTTTATTTTATTATAATTAATTTTTTTGAATCAATTTTAAAAAAATTATTTTTTTTTTGAAGTTTTTATATTTTTAAGATTATATAAAACAATAATTTATAAAATAATCAAAAGTTACAATTACTGTTTTTTATGTAAAATTTTATTCTTTTTCAAATGTATATTTAATTATAATAATTAATAAAAAATTAAAAACTTTTATTATTAGTAAATTCATTTTAAATTTTATAAAAAGTATGTAAAAAAATATTTTTAGATCTACAAAGTATTTTAAAATTAATTAATTTCTTATAATTAATTACTTTTCGTAAATAATTATCAAGTAGTATTTAATTTTACTTATAAATAATTATCAGTTTATAATTAATAATATAATTAATTATATATTATATATATATATATATTAAAAATTACATATTAAGTTTTTGATAAAACATTTATCATGATATGAGGCCTTTGCAATAGAAAGAAAGGAAACTCAAAAAAAAATAAAAAATGAGTTAATAATAAATCTGAACAAATTATAGTATTTAGAACATTTTTGGCTTATAAATTAAAATTTTAATTTTTTTGGAGTTTTTTCCTTTTCTATTGCAAAGACCCCATATGTATATTTATATCCTTTTATTATATCTCAAGTTTTTCTTTTTAGCAGATTATTATTCTAGTTCTATTTCTTTTAAATATTTATAACCAATTATTTTCAGAGTTTAATAATTATTTTCTTTTTAGTTAAAATTCTCTACTAAAAAAGATGCATAACTAGAATTATATATAAAACTAAAAAATCTTTTGCAATTATTTTTCAAAAAAACTTTTGATTTTTATATATAAATAGAGGTAAAGAAGAAAATATAAAATATAATATATAATATACCTGTCTTTATGAAAGAAGAAAAATAATAAAAAAAAAGAAAATAAATAAATATGAAATTTTATTTTTGCAAATTATTAAATTTAAATTTAGCAATGATATCTAATAAAATTTGTTAATCACATGATGATCTTTTTCAGTATCACTAATACTTTTTCATCCCACATGATCATAGTAAATATTTGTTACCCTGTATCACCCTCCACTTTTTATTCATCACATGTTGATTTCTTAATGCCATAATGCCGGCCAAAAGTCACGTAGAATGAAAAAAGTGTTACTGGGATAAATCTTATACTTGTCATCAACTGCGCCGCCATTAAGTTCTGTATTATAATTTGTTTACCAAAGGGTGTGAAGGGTAGGTATATCAAAGCTGAATCAAATATTTAATCGAATCAATAAAAAAAATATTTAAGAAACATGAAAGCTGTTTTACAAAGTAAACAATGTCAGAGGCGACTTTTTTTTACTAAGAAAAACACGCTTGCGAAGTTCAGAAACCTTTTCTTTTAAAAGTTTCAGGTTCGGTTGTTTCGGATCGCAGTGATCGAATATTTGGTTTTTTTACTTTTTGGGTCGGTCGCAAGAAATTAAAATTTTTGTTTTACACAAAACCAAATTCAGTAGGAGAAATTTTTAGAGCATACTTTTGAACAAATTATTGAAAAACCAATGATTGTACAATTATTGAAGTACAAATTTGGATAAAGTTGGGAATATTAATTTTTTTTTTCGAATTCGATGCGATGTTTTTATTCAATTCAACATTGAAATTCGATTTGTAAATAAATAAAAAAAAAATAAAAATAAAAATTGCTGAAGACTGAAAAAAAGAACGAAATCGTGAAATTTTGATTCTATACAAGGATTTTTTAATCATAAAGGTAAACTAATTTTTCCTTAAATATGTTAAATCTACTAAAAGGTAGTGGGTATTTATTTAATAAAAGATGATCAAATTTTTATGGTACAGTAAAGTTGCATAAATAACATCCTTTAAATGAAAATAATATGGTATAGTATGTATAGTATGGTTTTTTTCATAAATGTATAGTATTAGAAACCATACAAGTATGGATGAAAATCATACATTTAAAAAAAGAACCCATACTATACAAATAATACCCAAATAATATCTCGTAGCTTCGATAATAAAGTATTATGAGGTTATCTTTTTTTATTAAAAAACTTTAATGAAGGGAAATTTGATTTGAATTCGATTGATCAATGCACATTTAAATTTGTAACACCGAATTTTTAAAACATATCGAATGAATTATAACACTAGAATAATATTTATTTCCATAAATTAGGTCTCCAATCTCCAGCAACAATGGAAGACCGAACCCCGTGTTCTTCGGATTTACTGTATGTTAAAAAAGGCCTTGGTTATCCGACAACGCAATAAATGCACGGAAGGAATTTCTGCGCTGATGCAAAAACTCGTGATCTTTTAAGTGAATTCATTATGGCTAACCGATAAGAAAGGTTATTTGCGGATTTCTTTTCTTTATTGTTTTGGATTCTGATAAAAACACATCCAGTTGATCAACGAGTATAAATAAATTGTCGAAAAAAAGTAATGATCTACAAAATATCACATATAAATAAACCGTTTTACAGCACCAAATCGGGAGTTAACAAAATTTAAATTCTTAGGATGGTTCTTTCTGATTTACTATTAACATTTCTCAGTTTTTGGGCTCTTATACACGTTGTATATCGTATATTTCAATCAAGGTTTCAGGTTCAATCATCGGTAACGAGATTTTTATTTTTATTTTTATTTTATTTTATTATTATTATTGTTTTAGAAACCAAATTTCGAATACAAATAAATTTTTTTTTTCAGCATAGAATACATCATAATATATCTCGAACACCAAATAACACTAATCATCTACCAATTGTAAATATTAGTCCAGCATATCATGTATCACAACCAACCGAGATAACACTTAGCTATTTTTATCTCTGTTATAAAACAAGTAAATTTAATTCATTTTTTGAAACTCTCTCAAAACGTACGCCCAAATTCTGGAGAATATGGTTTAATTTGGGAATTATAGTTGGAATATTAGCAATGATTTTAGGAGTTGGTGTTATGATCGTGGCAGGATGGAAATTGTTAATAGGGATCTTTAGAATTGGTACCTGGGATAATGAGAATCATGAACAAACGAGATTTGTGAAAAGAAACTTTGAAGAAGCTCATCAAGTTGAAAGCAATGAGGATCATCAAATTTTTGTACCAGTTGTAAGTAATTTTTAGTAGATATTTGCAAATTATTATGATATCCACATCACATTCAACTCAATAATGTAAAAAATTTACAGATTCCCGGAGTGACTTTACCAATTTCACATCTTATATATTATCTTATTGCACTTTTGGTTTGTGGAATCTTACATGAGGCTGGTCATGCAGTTGCAGCTTACTGGTAAAGTATATATATATTGTTTTTGATGAATTTCTTGATTGTTGCGTTAATTACTTTTTTCTTTATAGTGAACTTGTGCCAATAATTGATGCTGGAATATTTTTATATTTCTTTTATCCGGGAGCATTTGTTAGTCTTTCTAGTCAATTTTTGGATAATTGTTCATCGGTAAAAAAGCTTCGCATCTTTTGTGCAGGAGTTTGGCATAACGCGGTGATATTTTTATTGGGTACTCTCATCTTAAATTCTGGATTAATTAAATTATCCATGAGTCTCACCGGATACAGATCTATGGAAGGAACTGGAGTTAGCATTATTAGTATTGAAGAGGTAAGAGAAACAAACAATCATATATCTCTCCTTATTAAAGATATAATATTTTTTTTTTTTTTTTAAAAAAAAAAAATTAGAATACAGATTTTGTTGGAATATTATACCCTTCAGCGATAATAACCAAAATAGATGATTATGAATTGAATGATGCTTCATTAGAACGATGGAATACTTATTTATTGCAAAACGATAAGATAATAAATAATACTCGTGGGTTTTGTTCATCTGAAAAGGACATTATACCATCTTTAGATTGCTGTAATATTAATGCAGCTCATCCTTATGGAAATTCAGAAAACAGAGAAGTTTTGTGTTTTCGGCGATCTGATCAAAATAATTCACATTATCAGGTAAGAAAGAATAATCCTTTATAAATTAACGTAACATTAATTATTTTTCTCTCTCCTTTTTTTTTTAAAAAAAAAAAGAATGAATTGAGTTGTCGTCACGTAAATCCAATATTAGCCAATATGAATGAACAAAGGTGTGAAAAAGATTCTGATTGTGACGAATCATTACCTACGTGTGTATTACCATATACACTTCTTGGATTCCCTAGGCCTGTAAGGATTTATTTTAAACATTCTCCATGGAATGGAAATCAAGATGAGAACACACAAAATGTTTTGTTATGGCTTGGAAATTTAAAAGATTTGTGGGAAATAATACAAGTTAGCATTCTTCAACCAAGATGGTCATGGGTTCCTCTTTGGATACCACTTGTTTCGGAATTAATTTTAAGGTAGAAAATTTATTTTAGTTTAAAGGTTTTGTTTTAATTATTTATTTTTATGTTTTTGTAAAATAAAAAAATTTTTTACATGATATAGGTATACGGCATCATTTTCACTGGCATTATGTATATTAAATATCTTACCTGCGTTTCAATTGGATGGACATCATGCATTAATAGCAATACTGACTGTGGTATATGATGATAAAGAAGTAACGAGCACTTCAAAAAGCAGTAGAGAAAGAAAGAAAAAAATTGAAAATGGGATTGTATATAGTGTAACTGGGTTGGTTGGTTGGGTTGTATTAGGAACTTTAATTTCTGGTGTATTTTTTGAAGGGCATTGAATTTTCAATCAAAATGGTACTTTTCGTAATACGTATTGTTAATTAAAAAAAAAGGGGGGTAAGCTTTATTTTGTACGTGGAAAATTACGAGACTCATTAATTTATCAAATTCATCTAGATCACGTGAATGGTTTGTGCAAATTTCTAACGATTTTATCTCTATTCTTAATTAAAGTACTATAGATAACAAAGTCTGAAATTTTTTTTTTTTGTTGCACTTTATAATTTCATTCAATGGTATTATGTATGAATTCGTTTAAAGGGATACTTCTTTTATGAATTGGAGATGGATCGGATTAAATTCATTAATTTTTTTATCATAATTTCTTTATAAATCTTAGCAAAGCCCAATCCATCTGGTGTCATTCTGCTATTTCAAATTCTCTAGATAACTCGAATTCTGACGAGAACTTTTTTTGCATCTTCATCAAGTCTTTCTACTTCAATCCTGTTTCTGTCATAATCTTACCCTTCAAATAAATATATCTGCAAATCCAAGCCAAATCTCATCTTTATGGGAAAATAAATTTAATAATAAGTCAATAAATATAGCAAGAAAAGTGACGCCACTTTTATAATCGCAATAAAGCACAGCCACATTCAGAACGACGCCACGTAATAATGTATAAATAATAAATTAAATGTTAACAAAATAAATAATTTTTCAACAAAAAGTTTTATTTTATTTTAACAAAAATAACAATTATTTTGATAAGCATATATTTATATATATTCATTAATAAATATTCAAGGTATTAAATTTATTTCGACCTGATTTTATGTTTTTTTTTTTAAAAAAAAAAAAAAATTTAATGAAATATCAAATTATCTAGATATATGTTGGAAATATAAAACGATTGAACGTCCAAATATACAAAAAGTTGTTTGATAGTTCAACAATTACAAAATTCCCGAAATTTTTTTTATGTACAAACCAAACCTATTGTCAAATTTCTATTTTTTTTTTTCCATAAATATGGAGATTAAGAGAATATTTGGCTTATCAAAAAGAAAATCTAGCCGTATGAGAAACTTTAAAAAAGAAATAAAATTCAAAGAACAGTTTACAAACTTGCAGACTCAAGTACAAGAAGAAAAAAGAATGGCTTAATAAAAAATATAAAGCAAAAGGATTATTCTTGCTGTTAAAAGACTAGCACATATTGTATCTGATCAAACTGATTGTAAGAAACAATATAAACAAAGAATAGATATGCTGGAAATTGAAAACTTTGAATCAACAGGAAAAGATATTTAAAAAGGTTGGATATTAATTCCAGTTGGATGGTCTAGGTAGTTAGGATTTTCTTTTTGGTTAAAATATTATCTGGTATCTTTCTTCTTTGATAGATGGTAGATGCAATATTTTGTGTTGAAAATTATGAAGCTGCAGAATATTGAGATAAAAAAAGATCAATCTGAGTTTGCAATAGGTTTTATTTATGAAATCAGTATAGTTAAAAAAGGATATTTTATTTATTTTGAATATGATGTTACTATCAAAATGACATCAAATTCAATATGATGTTGGTTAATGAAGCTGTATATAGTACAGCTAAACTTAATTTAAGTGAAGGTGGTATTTGATATACTAGTGCAATTATTTTAACTGAAAAAAACTGCAAAAGTAATAGAAAAAGAAGCAGGTATTTTATAAATTTAGATAGTTAAATTTATTTATATTACTTTTTTATTATTATATAATAATACTTTTATTATAAACTAAAATTTATACTATTAATTTTATTAAAATTGCTTTTATTTTTAAACTAATATTTCAAAATTAAATATGATTTGATATTTAAATTAAGTTTTCAGTTTTTTTTTGTATAACAAATATTACAATTTCTTAATGAATATAATGATCTTATTTATCTTAACCATTTTCATATTAAATATTACTAAATATATTCAAAAAAAATAAATTTTTATAATATATGGCTTTTCAAAAATTTTATCAAAATTAAGCAAATAAATAATATGACATTAATAATAAATATCATTAATTTTAAGTAATATAATTTCTAATTGTTATAAAATAATATATGGTTAAACAAATAATCTAATTATCTATTTATATATTGCTCAGGATCTTATGTTGATTTCTTGCTACAATATCATAATTTTTTTTATTTTACATGTAATAGCTTTGCACAATCTTTATTGAAGTAAAATAAAATTTTACAAAATTACAAATTACAAAAGAGAGAGTACAAAAATTTCTTTCTAATTAAAACTAAATCAAAATACACCTTATATTGTTCTAAACTAACATATTTAAATTAATTTAAAAAAGTTCAATCATCTGATACAAAAGTATCAAAATACAGTAACACCTCTATAAGTGTACCCTCTATAAGTGCACACCCTCTCTATATGCACACCATAGCCCGGTCCCAAGCTCAGGACTTAGAGCTAAGTGCACTCCCTCTATGTTCTGCACGTGCAAGCAATTCCGAGTCCTAGGTATATTAGAACACCCTCTATAAGTGCACTCACGTGATAATCGACCAATCAAAAATAACTGTTTGGTCACGGTTAATTTTAAATTAATAATTTTAATTTAAATAAATTTGTGTATGACGACATTTATTA